ATTAAGTCAAAGGAGAAGCAATTCAAAACAACACTTATTATACCATAAGTGATAGACAATCTCTGTTAATATAAAGGTTTATAGAAATTTGAGTCCATGTTATAAGCTATTCAGTAGCCCATTTTTTCCTCACTTGATAATACATCAGTTTTTCATGTTCTTCCCCCAGATACTCCATGACTCACTCCCTCACTAGATTTAAGTCTTTGCCCAAATACCACCTTAGTGAGGCATTTCTTTCTCAACACTTTTCTTTAAAATTGCAACATCCTACTACCACCCTAGCAGTTCTGTCTCCCTTCCTTGTTTTGAATTCTTTATGGTGCTTATCACCATTTGATATTCAGTATGTTTTATTTATTTATTTTTAATCATCCTTTTCCTCCTGCTATGGTGTAATTGGGGGCAACACTTTCTGTTTTATTGATTGATTAATTAATTTTTATTTGTTCTTTTCTCCTCCAGTGTCTTGTATTATACCTGTCACATAAAAGGTACTCAATGAATAAGCAGGTGACAGATGTAGATGAACTTCATTCTTTGGATGACTACGTAATTATCCACTGTGTAATCAGATGCAATATATTTTATAACAAATACCATATTGATGAGCATTCTGATTTTTCTATTATATTGTGTTGTGATGAAGCTTCCATAACATGCTTCTGTGCAAAATTTTCAGTTATTTCTTTGTACGATAATTTGTTTAAAGTGGTATTGTTGAGTTAAATCCATAAACATTTTTGAGGATTTGATACCCTCTGGCAAGTTTTCTTGAAGAAAGTTCTATCTAATATTACTTGGGCTCTAGCTAGGAATATATGAGTTCTGATTTCGCTATACCATCGTCAATTCTGTGTTTCATCACTATTTTAAAAATTATTTATTATATTTAATTGACATAATAGTACAAATTTATAGTAATGTACAATGTGACATTTTGTACATATCCATGTGTAGGAAACAGCAAAAATAGGATAATTAGCTTATCGCCTCATTTCTTTGTTATCATTATTTTCAATCTTGGTCCTTTTTAAATGTCATTGTCTATTAGAAATTAAGTACTATCAGAATCAACAATTTATTTTTTAGATAAACAGTAGGAAATAAAAATGGAAGAATGATAGAAAGGTTAGTTCTCCTAATACATAGTCATGTATAATAAAAGTTTGGAATTTCTAAAGATGTATGCATGAAAACTGAATGTAAATGTCACAAAGCTTCTAGTTCATCGGAGGGTGCATTGCTTAAGGGGTGTGAGCTGCTGTTTTGGTGGCAGTGAGGACAGGTAACCAGGAATGCCCAGCCTTTCCCTGATAATGAGCATTTATCCTAGAGAACACTCACAGGAACTGCACACTCAAAGAACAGGGTAAAAGGGGAATCTAGGTACTGCTTTATTAATAGCTCTGTGAGTGTTGATCTCCCTCTGGGACAGAGATCTGTGGTTGTACTGAGATGGTTTGCAGGTTTTGGCTTTAGGAACAGAGAGATGTTTTATCCCATCTCTTCTTCTCACCACTGTGTCTTGGAAGCCTCTATGCTCAGTGAGCTGCATCCCTAAAGGATCTGGCTCGAGGCCCCTATCTACCTATTTGGGGTCAACAAAAATATTCCCAACAATAGCTGGCTTGGTTTTCCTGGGAACCGGATGCTGCATAGGTCTGAAGAAGTATAAGAAAGAGCCCTTTCTGGGTACTTCTTAAACAGATCTGCAGGGCACACTGTTGCATGCCTGTAATCAAAACTACTAAGGAGGCTGAGGCACGGGGATCATAAGTTCAAGGCCAAGGTGGGCAACATAGCAGGGCTCTGTCTCAAAAGATAAAAGTGAAGTACAACTGAGGTTCTTACAGTAGTGTCTGGATCAGTTGGATTAGCAAACCTTTCCCTTGTCAGGGAAACCAACAGAAGTGGGATGGGAAAAGAGCATTGAAAGGACTTTGTCTCTTAATAGATACAACAAACTGGATAAATCAGAGCAATTTTTTCATATTTTTAGTTACAACCATTGGAGTCAATGGCTTGAGAAGGCTGAGAAGTGATGGATAAAATGGCACTTATCCTAACTTATTCTCTTAGCCTTTGTCATATTACAGCATTTCCTGGTGGGTTTTAAAACTTTATCAACTGAACATTTAGAAATAACACATTTCTAGGTACTGAAAATCTCTGTTTTGTGGGTTTGTGTTATTTGAAAAACTACAAAGGAGAGTTGAACTGCTGTACCAACGAACTCAGGGCTGTCTCTTAACCCCCTGAGAATGCTGGGGGCCAAGCTTGAAATGCAAGTTTTAGATCCCTTCAAGGGCAAAAGACAAGATGCTGCTCTCCCCTTTGGCTCAGTAGGAGGGGAAAAAAGTACAAATGAATAAAATAATCGACAAGTTAAAAGTTTGTATTTTCCTTCCACTGTTATTCCTCAGTTGCAAAATTCAGCTTCTTAGAGGCAAGTTGCCATTGTCAGTTTCTTAGGAATCCATTCCAAAGTTTCTTCCTGATAGTACATACATATATCTATACACATCATTACACAAATAACACTTGTCTATTAAAATCATGAGCTATAAGTTAGAATTCGCATAACAGTTTGATTTAAGATAGTTAAGAGTTTTTCACACACATACATATGTGTGTGAAAGATCAAAATAGGATAATTAGCATTTCTATCACCTCAAACATTTTTCATTTCTTTGTCATCACTAATCTTAATTTTAGTCCCTCTTTTAAATGGCATTGTCTGTTAGGAAATTAGTACTATCAAAATCAACAATTTATTTTATAGTTAGCAGAAAATAAAAATGGAGATAAAAATAGAAAAGCATCATTGATAGAAAGACCCGAGCTATCTGCAGTAGTTCACGCTTTCTTCCAAAGAACCCATTTTCTCTCCCTCTTTCATTTTGTATCAGTTTCCTAGTTAATTACCTTTTCTTCCATGTCTTTTAAAAATGTGAGTTTTTAAAAGCTATGATAAGAAGTCTTTGGCAGTTGAGCTTGAAGAGCAGAAAACTTCTGTCTGATCCAATTAAAGAAGATAATTATTATGAGGTTATCATTAGGGATTTTAAAAATTTATCTATATTGCCTAGAATTATGATCATTGTTGTTTTCAACTTATTTCTTTTTGAAAAGTACATTCTCTTTTCCTTTTCACCCTCCCAAGACTATCATCAATCTGTGCTTCACAATATTTATGTCCTATTACAAAAATAGGGCAAAGAAGAATACAGTTGGAAGGGACCTCAGAGACGGGCAGTTGTACTTTTCATTCCAACACATAATTTGCTATTACATTTTGGACTATTCATATGACTTTTATTGACCTTTGTTTTTCTTTTTATAATACCATCTCCAGGATTTTTTTTTTTTTTAGTTTTGATATTATCTGATGGTGTGATGATTCTGTATAACGTAGCAGAACCTAATGAATTATAAGAGGGCATTCAACAATCTGTATTTTAACAAGACCTTTCATAGATCCTGATGAGTTCTGAACTTTGGGAACCATTTCTGTAGTGGGGGGTGTCCTGTGAATGAGAGGTAGTGTATGAAAGTTATCTTAGTACATTGCCTGGTGCATGGTCAGAGACTAGTACTCTGGAGATGACTGAATTTCACTGGGTGTTAGACTTGGCAGCTGTTAGCTACTCTTCAAATTCTAACAGTGTTGTTTATAAAGCTAATGAAGGCCAAGTGAACAATTTCAAAGGGGTGTCGGAACAACCAAACTCACTGTCTTTCCATGGTGTCCCTTTTACCATTCTTAGACTCTTTCTCCAAATGCCTAAGTTGAGATACTTTGCTTCTATACAAAAGCAACTCATTTTAATGATGGAGACTGCTGCCCTACAGCTAAATGTTGAAAAGCTGAAATGCAAGGATATGCTACTGATCTATAAATAGAGGAGAATACTTCCCCAACACATCAAAAACATTATTTTTAAAAAGAAGAGAAAAAATAGAAAGACTGTTTAAAAAGGAAATTTCTGTTTTCCCAGTAAAATTTTTTTTTTCAAAATCTATTTTAAGAGATTCTATACTATGAGCCATACAGCTCTTGGATATATGTTTGTACCTCAAATTTTACAGAGGAGATCTGGTGTTTCAACCACCATTCTTGTTGGTCAGAGATGGATTTCTTGGTCTCCTGAGCCTCATTATTTCCTTCTTGGATTGTATTTTCTAAATCAGATGTTTCTTATTCCAATTTCTCCTCATCTGTTCTGCATATACTTAAACTTTAGTAAATCATATTGTAACCAAGTGTTTCTGCCTCAGAATTCCTTGGGTGCATGATAAAATTGACACTCTGCTCCATCTGTATCCCACTTAGTTATTCATCACTTTTCTAATTTTTATCACCCAGTAACACTATTTTATATTCTTGTGGTTTTGGTAGGTTATACCTTACTTTTTATTCTCTGTGCCCTGATTTTTTTTTCCCTAGTATGTCTATATCCCCCTTTCTGCCTAGAGTGGACTTGCTATCTGCATCCACAATGTGCAGGGCAATTATAGGATCCAGTCAGCCTCCCTTGTTCCTCCACTTGGATATAAGTTTTATTTTATGTTATATTCCAGAAGTTTATTTATACTCTTCGTAAAATGTATCTTGTATCATTCTTACTTGTATACATGTTTTTTTTTTCCTCTTGTACTTGATTAAAAATTTACTGAGGTCAAGCTCCATGTCTTATATAATTTAGTCACCTCATCCCCCAAACCAAGCACATCCCCTGCTCTTGCTAAATGTACTTGACCCCTCTAGACTATCTTTTATGCCACTTCTAAATATCAAATCTTGTCCTCCCTCTGAAAGTTAAGGCTATTAATTAAACTGAGGAGAGCTAAGATAGGGAATAATTGCTATACAAGGCAAAAAATTATGTGTCAAAGCCAATTATGAAAGAGTAAAATGTCAGCAAATATATATTTTTAAAGAGTATTATGAAATTGCATCCATTTTAACTTTGTGTGTGTGTGTTTCTTTTCTGCAGGCGACTTTCTCCCACCACCACCTCCACCTCTAGATGATCCTGGTGCCCTTCCATCTGGCTCTGGAAACTTTCCTCCTCCACCACCCCTTGATGATGGTGCTTTCAAAGTGCAGGTAGGAGCTGTGGTTGCACTCATGCACTAGAAGGAAGCTCATGAATTCAGTAATTGTTTCTGTGGTAGATAAACATTTATCCAGAGCCTATAGAGGGCTTTGCAATTTACAAGGAACCAAGGCACTTTAATGCAAAATGCCCAACTCAAGCTTCTCAGATTTCTGCTGGCTTACACTTTGAAGCCCTGGAAATCCTTTTAACTACTAATTTTGTCTCAAAACCCAAAGCAATTTTTTAGGAATGCTGTTTGAGAAGTCTACATTTTCTTGTTATCCCAGGAACACATAGCTGGGCCTTCTTTATTGCCTCCCCGACTCCCTCTATCCACAAACATTGCATTTCAATGAGTAAGTCTGATATTTTAAGGATCTTTTTGGTCACTGTGGATCCAAGTTGGTCAGCAACATCCTTCTAACAAAAGTAACAACAAAAATCCTTAGGTTTTTGTCTTGTGGTTAATTTTAGGGATGCATATATAGATTGGTGTTGTACTCTAGAGCATGTAGATTGCAAAGAAACTCAGGGCTAGACATAGAAGTGACACTAAAAGTAGGTTGCAGACTGTGATCATAGGGGACAGGTGAGTGACATGTCATTTAATCCAAATATATTATTTACATAAGGACAGATAATTAATAAAATTATAGAATTACTATTTTGTTCTTAGGTATGGTGATATTAGTATAGATACATTGAAGAAAAAATTAAGAGTCCTTGTCTTTTAGAGAAATATCTGAAGTATTGGGAGATGTAATGTAACAGTGTCTGATATTTGCTTCAAAATAATAAGAGTAGAAAATTTCTGAATGACAACGTGGGTGAGAATAAGATTAGCTGTGATTTGATAACTGTTGGGTGCATGGTCATTTCTGTTATTTAGTCTACATGTCCATATGTCTGAATTTTCCTGTAAGAAGTGTAAAGGAGAAAAAGCCATAGAAAAGAACTGTTTATATGGTTTCATCTGTGGTCTTGTTTTCTTTCTCCCAAATTTCTGGTTGGAGGAGATAAAGGAAGAAATGATTCATTCATTCCAGAAATATTTTGTGTTCCTATTTGGGCATTATTTAAGTACTAGAAAATCTATAATTGAAAATAAAGACAGCTTGCCTTCTGGAACTTACAAGTTGGTAGACTAGTGAACATGAACAAATTATATGCATTGTGATATAAGTTGAGTGAACTACCTGCCAAGGGAAAGAGTGAAGGGGATGTGGCTTTCTATAGTGTGTATATGGTCAATAAGGTCCTAGTCTGAACATGACACTTAGAGTCTTGAAGGAGAAGAGCAGGGAATAGATCATAGGGATTTCTTAGGGAGTATATTTTCATGTAATCAATGTTAATAGAAGAAACTTTAAATAGCATCGATCCATTGAAATTAGTACGTTCCAGTTGTAATCAGTAAGTTCCAATTCAGTTTTAATTCTAGATCTTTTCAATGCTATTATATTTTTTTTGCATGTGTGTGTATATACACACATGTATACATGTGTCATTTATATGTCACTCTATATATTAGTATATATATCTCCTGTATTTATTTTGTTGTAAGCTACCACAAAGATCAGATACCAGTGATGACAAGAGTTCTACAGAGTTCATATGTATTTTATGCAGCAGAACCTTTGTAAATAAAAATAATGTTTGAGTTTTCTTACACAGCTATCTTTAATAAAAAATCATAAAACCTGAGTTTGCTTTTTATGTATCTTTGCTCTTATTTTGTTGGTGATGATTCTTTGAATGTTATTAATTATGCATGATTTAAAAATTCACTTATTCATTTTTCTCTTCTGAATTGTTATGAAAAGTACTCTGTTGCATTTAAAATTTTTACTTCTCTAAAGGTTGACTTAATGAGAGAGACTTTCTTTTGAAAATTAGTTGAGCATCTTATTTCTAGTTGAGTGATTTTAAGCAGGTCACATGTAGACCCAGTTTCCTCATAATTACAAAAAGGTAGATATACATATAAATATACCTACTTTTCACAATGAAAAGACACAAATAAATTTGAAATTGTTAAGTTGAAATGTATAAACAGATATTTTGATGTTCTAGTAAATATTACCATGTGAAACTAATGATACTAAGAAATATATTAAGGCTTTGCCAGTGGGTTCCACCAAAAAAAAAAAAATCATTCAATTCATGAATACAGGATGTCTTCCTATTTATTTGTATAATCTTCTTTAATTTCTTACATCAATATGTCATATTTTTCATTGTAGAACTCTTTTACCTCCTTGGTTAAAATTTGTTCCTAGGTATTTTATTTTATCTTTGACTTTTATAAGTGGGATATCTTTTTCAGATAGTTTGCTTTTGCCATATTAAGAAAATTACTGTTTTTGTATGTTGATTTTGCCTCTTGTGATGTTACTGAATTTTTAAGTAAATTCTAATAGTTTTTGTGGAGTATTTAGGATTTTCTCTATATATGATCATACTGTCTGCAAACAGGGGCAATTTGACTTCCTTTTTTCCCAATTAGGATGTTTTTAAATTCTTTCTCTTGCCTAATTGCTCTGGCTAGGACTTCCAGTTCTGTGTTGAATAGAAGTGGTGAAAGTGGGCATCCTTGTCCTGTTCATGGGGCTTTCATAAAATGACAAAAAGACAAAAAGTCTCTTTCTGTGTGGACTTTGTTCGGAGGAATGTGCTCAAGCCATGGCTTTGTTTTTGAAGAGGAAGGAAGTAAACAAAAAGCCTGTTGCCATGTTGGCTTATGTTCTGTGTAAAACAGAAGGGAGGAAGATAAAAAATAGCGTAGGGTTTGCCAAATGGAAAGGACAAATCTGGTAGGGAGAGTGTTATTTTTGAGACTCTTCGTATGGAAAATTGTTGGCAAGTTAAAAAAGAAAATGGACATGCCCTTCCCTTGTGTATTGGTGACTTGGGTGTGCCAGTGGCTCTGGGCATGCTCACCCCACCTTTGGATATGAGCTGTGATATAGTCTGGAGTAATGTATCATGGGAGAAAACTTTGCACCTTTTTCTCTCAGTTCTGGTGAAACCTCCTGTTGCCAAGTCCAGATTATAGCTGGTGGATGTGTGTTTTTATGTGCAACACTGTTTATGTTTCCAACCATATTTTCAGCTCAGAGCCAAAAGTATGTCTACTAAGTGTGACTGTGAGAATTATAAGAGATTCAGGGCTGAAAGGGACCTTCAGATCATGTAGTCCAACCCTGGCTCCAAGCATCTAGATATGGCCCTTTTAAGTATTAACTGAATGAATTAACTCCCCCGCCCCCCCCTTTTTTTTTTGGCCTTGGGGAAACTAAGAACCAAGGAAGAGAAGACCCTCTAGTTTCAGTTTTTACTGGATTTGGTCTTGACCTTTGTACCAGATGGTCCCTATGCTTGGTTTTGCTTTAGTTCTCTTTCAAGCTGTTAGGCTCTGAGATTCAGAGTAGGAGGGATCCATGCTTTTATCTGGAAAGAATAGGTGCTACTGGAGTTTTGCTTGACACTCTGATTTGTTTTTCAAAATTTAACCCAGGGGTGCTTTACCCCTTAGCTTCATGCCCGTCACACTCCTCCCACATTTAAATTTTGAGACAGGATCTCATGAAGTTGCTTAGGGCCTTGCTAAAATTCCTGAGGATGGCCTTGAATTTGTGATCCTCTCACTTCAGTCTCCTGAGCCTGTGGGATGACAGGTTTGCGCCACCATGTCTGGCAACACATTATTTTCTATATGCCGTACACATTTTTTTTTCCTTTTGCAAAGGCCAAATAAGTGTTTATTTTTGTTTTGAGGGTTCTTATTTTTTTGGGGGGAAGAGATGAATCTTGAAAAACAAGATTTTTTTTGGTTTGCTTTTTTGTCAGGAGCAATTTTGGCCTCTATGTCCATGAGGTTTGAGTGATCTGTTAGCAGTCACTTTATTCATTCATTTGTTCTTAATTCTTTCAGTATAAATTCAATACCTTCTAGATGTAAATACCAATGCCAGGGCTCCTAGCCTTTGAATTTGACCTCAAAAGTTTGGGACCTCAACTCTTCAATTTTGGGACTGAGTTAGCCTCTGTTGGTTTCGATGCCAAAGTTGACAATTTTTTTTTGTTATTTTCAGCCAGACCTTGGACAGGTATTACTTAGGAGAGTTACACAGCGGGAGAATGTCTCAGAGAATTTCAGGTTTGTAAGAAATGCAGAGATCCCACATTCAAGTCCCTTTCTATTGTTACAATATTTTCTATTTTACAAAATGTTTATGAATGACTCTTACAGGATTGATAATGCTGATGAATAGGAGATGGATAGTACCTAGAATCAAGGCTTAAAGAACACACGTGCGCGTGCGCGCGTGCGCACACACACACACACACACACACATTTTTAAATAAAGACGTGACAAATTGTGCTTCAGTTATGATGCTTTGATTAGAAGCACAATTTAAGTTCTGTATTAGTGGTAGGG